TAAGCATCTTGTTGAAAGAACACACACACACAGACACAAACACAAAATCTTAGGAAAAATCTCCTGGACTTCTTCACCTTCACTTTTTTCCAGGCTGCGCGTCAAACTAATTATGCATGCAGATAATATTCATTCCACGTGCAGTCATGCACACATATAATTCACACACAATCATACATACATAAACCACTTGTACCTAACCCGCTGCTGGCTTTTTCTTCAATGCTTTCCTGGAATGACGAGAGCTTCAATTTTCTCTATAAATACCCAATTATTAATGTCTCTTATTCTAAATCATAACACCCTCAGTTCTTAATTAGTAAATTCCGCACACACAAACACACACTCGGACATATAAACTCACAAAAAAAATACACATAATTATGGCTGAGAAGGCAGGGAATTCGGGCAGTGACAAGGGAAAAGGTGGAAGCAGTGCTGATGAGAAAAGGTCAGGCTTCCCAAAGAAAGATGGAAGTTTGATTCCCAAGCCTAGGGAGTGTGTTTCGACCAAAGTGCTTAAGAAAGTTGGGGGATCACTTGCTGACTATGTTAAATCGGACGACAAAAACAGCAAGATCAAGCCTAGCAATGGGGAAAATGCGGCATCAGATTGACTGATGATCAGCTTCCAGCAGCATATAGATGCTGAAATATTGCTTGTTTGCATCGTAAATTATGGCTCTTTTTTTGGGGTTGAGTTGTAGTACAACTACTTTTAAGGTGTGCTTGAAGTCCCTTGCCCCATCTCTGTTTCTTAAATTTTATCCCTTGTTAGAAAAAAATTAAATAAAAGGGGTGCTTTGTTTTTGTTTCCTCTTTTTTTTTGTTGAAAATAAATTGACAATAGTGTTGGCTTTTGCTATATTTTCTATTATTTCAACTAGCAACTGCAATTCATATAAGACAATGACAATAAATATGCAAAAAAAAAGGACAAACATGCAAGTTCCTTATGAAAGTTTTTTTACAACTTTTTTGGTTACATATGTCCGAATTACTGAATTTTTAAATAAATGAATGTTTAGCAGTCTTATTCCTTTTATTGTGTTGAATGAAATTAAATTCTCATTTCCCTTTTGACAAGAAAGCTAATCTACATGCACAATTTTTCTTGTCAAATCTAACTAAATCATTTCGAAGAATGCTGAACGGTGGTATGCAGTATTGTTAGAGAGACGATTACAGAAAAATGTCACCAAAGCTAACAAAGAAGCAAGTCTACGGCAAAAATTATCATCAAAATCTTAGTTTTGTAGTTAAATTTTTTTCCGTTTCTTTTATTTCACCCTTAAATTTTTTTTGAGTCCTGTGAATTTGAATCAAATTGAGTAATTGACTGGAAGGGTTCGTTCCACTGTGCAATCATTTATGTCCAATCAAATGTTTCTTAACTCTATTTTATGAGGATTTGGATGACCACATGCAGAATCGTGTGTACTTTTCAGGGCCACATAATCTTACAAGGGCAGATTTTTTTTTCCCACCTTTTTGAAATATGCAAAGATCTAATAAGATAGAGTAGACTGTAGATCCATGTAAAACGAGGATCTAATAATATTAATCTGCCCTAGTCTTCACGCCTTCTAGAAATATTTTTATTGTCAAAAGTCGTAGATTATTTCGTACTTTCAATACAGAGGGGTGTACAATCGTTTACTAAATCTGAAATTTATCAAGTACAGAAAAATCTTTTACCTGTCTCTAGCTAGTTTAAACTTAGTAGAGTACTAGAACTACCTATTATATAGCTAGAAATGTGTACATTATGTTGAAATATATTCAACCTCTCGTGGGGTAAAAGATGGATATGACAGAAATAGGTGATAAAATTGGGATGAACTTGTGAAGCCCTACTTACCCAGAAAAAAAAAAAAAAAAAAGCATTGTGAAATCCTAGTTAAAAGATAATAGTTGCAAAATTGGAAAGAAAGATGTAACTTGTTGAGTATGAAGAAAACATTGGAGAGTTCAATTCATTCGGCAAAGGGAAACATGAAGGAACAGAAGGTTGCTGATTGGTAGATTTTCAGAAAGAAAGAAGTTTAGAGTGTAATATGGAAATTGACATAAAGTAAAGAGTGCTGCTCCGTTTGGATTTTGCACTCTGGTTAACAAAGTAAGATTTTAAGCTCTGAATTCTTTTATATATACGAATTCCTCTTATTTCTTGTAAACAAATACCATCAATATTATTGGTCTATTAAATTCATCAGTGTAACCATGCAAAAGAAAACATATACAATTACATTTGCTTTTATTTTCCATGGGGGAAAATATAATTTAGCAGCTTAGCACCTGTATGCCCTTTTTATTAAATTCACTCTGTCAATATCATAAATGTCAAGTTCCTCTCATTCCTTCCATAAAACATATTTCATCTACTGCTTGTAACCATTCATTTTCTTATCAATAAAATGAGACAGTTTACGTAAAATATATATATATATATATTATCGTTTTTTTCATATGACGAACATCATTAATCTAATTGAAGTACATATATATACGCTGGTACATTTGTTTTCTCTGATCAGGCTGCAAATTAACAATGTAAATGTATGAAATGCCTTTTTATATAAAACTACACACCAATGCAAGAGGGCAATATCCAACATTATCAAGCAAGAAAGGTTTTCAGTCAGGAGTGGGCATGTCTCTGCCTTAGAATGGCAAGACATGCTTTTTGAAAGTGTTATGGCCGTCTAGCGTAATTTTCTTCGCTCAATCTTCTCAGTACTTTCAGATAAGATTTGTACTTTGATTTCTATGTATGTAAATGTGCCAAACTCACACGCCCAAGAGCATGATATGATGTTATCTGATGCCAAAGTTAGAGCAAAATCCCTTTCCAAAAGAAAAAAAAAAAAAAAAAAAAAAAAAAGGTTAAAGCAAAACTGAAGTTTAAGAGCTAAAGTGAGATGGATTTCATATTTTAGGTGATAAAATGTCCAAATTAAAATTTAAGCACTAAAGTAGATGGGTGTCTACAATTTGAGGATCCAAAGTGAAATTTAGGCTTAATTTTATTGTCTTAAATGAATTTTTCATGAATCATTGTACGAAAACTAAATCTAAATTTACTGGCAACAATCTATAGTAAAGATCTTAATTTTAAACTTAAATATTATATCTGTTTTGCTTATTCAACCTTAACTTTTATTGCTCGTACGAAATTGAGGCAAATTAACTGGACCCAACCGTGGATTCGTATCACAATTTTCTCTTGCGCATATCATATAACATGACCCACTGTTGTTTCTTCGGGGTATTTCATGAGGATTTGGAAGTTCAAGTCCAGGTGCTTGGGTACTTAGCAGGACCACCTATCCCCATTTCCCGACAAAGAATCACAGGAAGATATACATATCTCCAGTGTTAGAGAGGTTGGGAAGAGGAGGACATTGAAGATGTTGAATTTGAAGTATTCAAATATTTTGAAAATTAGCTACGTTTGGTTTTTTTTTTTTTTGGGAAAATTTTCTGTAGCAACTTTAATTGAAAAGAATGTATGTGCGATAAAAAGACAATAATTTTTAAAGTGATTAACAATTTGGGAAATGATTTGCTTAAACCATTTGAGCAAATTAACTTCACAAGTTAGTGCATAACCCCGTTTTCGGACAAAACTATTTCAGCTGCTGTAAATGTGTTGATTAATTTATTACTGAACAAATAATCGATAATCAAGAAAATGTTTAGGCAAAAAGAAAAATGCAAATAGTGATAAAAAACAAAACTGCTAGCTTTTTCTGAATTGGACTGGAGTAAGCAAATTGATAGGTTTATATGACATGTTGAAATTGATCAGACACCACATTAATATTTTGCGTGTTTGAGTGGAACTCCTTGGATGAAGAATTGGGGACCGATTAGAAGACTGATTTGTGACATAATAGTCAACTTCCAGCTGTAAGTTGCTGTAAAATGTCCAGAAGCAAAGAAATATTTGTTTAAATATACGAAGATCTAAGAAGATTTAGGGAATCCATGTAAAACAAGGCTCAAATGATTCTAATCTGCCCGTAACAAGGCTCAAAAGATATTGTTTTTTTTTTTTCAGCAACAAGGCTCAAAAGATATTGTTATCAAAAGTAGTCGAATATTTCGCATATTGAATAGAATGCATTGTAGAATTGATTTCTAAATCTGAAGACGAGAATAGAAAGTGTTAGATGGCTAATTGTGCATATAATTTGTGAATAATTTTCCCTTTATTTTGCTAAAATATGGTGTTAATTGATAGATTTTACTCATATTTGATTTTTGGTATTGTTTCTAGGAATTTGTAGTGAAAAGAGAATAAAAGATGCATTAAATATGAAATTTCAGAAAACTACACTCTATAAGATGTGAGCACGTGATATAACCAAGTGAAAGACAGAACCCACGGGATTGCACTTGCCATGTCCTTGTTGCTACATTAGCCACAAATTCGAAGTTCTGATCAATTGCGGAGTGATGCATTCCATTTGGAAAGTAATTAGCCTATTGAAATTTTATTAGTTTATTAATTTAAGTAGGAATAAGACAAGAAAAGGAAGTCTTTTCCTTTTAGGAGTCCTTTAAGGTTGTTAGACTAGTCTCGGTAGGAATAAAAAAAGGGGACGGAAGCCTTTAGCTTTTTTTTCTCTGATTCCTTTTCTTCTTTTTCTCTTCAAAAACAATAAACCCTAAGGGAAAAATGCACTTTTTATCCTCAAAGTTTGGGTTGTTGACCAGTTTCATCCTCAAAGTTTCACCCAAAACATATTTCATCCTCAAAGTTGGGAATTTGCACGTGAACCGTTAGAACCAACTTTAAACCCAACAAAAAATGGGTAAAACTGAATGGAGCCATTTTTTAACGGAACAAAAATTTGCAACGGACAAAACCAATATTTTTCTCCTTCTTCCCTCTGCCTTTCTGCAACCCCAAAATTTTTTTGCCAATCTTACCTTTATAATTTTTCCCTAATTCAGAGTATCTGCTAGTGGTTCTAAAGTCTCATTTTTGCCTAATGAGAAGCCGAAGTTCTAAAGTCTCCAGTGGTTCATCAACTGCATTCTGCAACTGTGGGTTGAGAACAAAAATGAGCACCTGTTGGTGCGGCGAGAATCCGGGAAGAAGATTCCTTGGTTGCTCTCTGTGGCCAGTAAGAAATATTTGTCTATAAATATTGGTCCTTCAATGTGTTAATTTAGCTAACTAATTTCAAAAAAATGCCATTATTGTTATGGCAGAGACCTGAGAGATACAGCTACTTTGAATGGGTTGATGAGCCAATTTGTCCAAGAGGGAGAGTTCTTATTCCTGGTTTGCTGAAAAAGATTAACAAAATGGAAGAACAAGTTGAAAGAACGCGTAAGAGGGAGAAAATTTTGATTACCATAATTGTGCTTTTGGTGGTTTTGCTAGTAATGAGTTGGAGGAGTAAAGGTGAGGGAAAAGCAATGGGAGGCAAGTTGCTGCTAACACTGGAGTGATTTTGCTAAAATTGCAGAAGAACATCTTGAAGCTGGCCTTGTTTGTTGTTGTAATGAGAGTATCATTTGTTTATGAAGTAATATCCAATTGCAGGGTATAGAAAGGGACTTGTTTTGTTTGTACAAAGGTTCCAAATGAACTCTGCAATTTATGTAAAAGGTGGGATTTAGAAAGGAAAATGTATGAGCAATGCGTTGAGTGTAAGAAAATGGTCATGTTTTGTTTGTAAAGTAGATTCAATTCTGACATTGTAATTGCTTCGATTCTGACATTGTAATTGCTAACCTTGTCAAAGTATTGTTCCTATCATATATATATAATGGCCATGAATTAGTGTCTTTAGCAATAATGTCCCACATGTACTGATAAACCAGGCTAGAAAACAAATGAAAATAATATAAACAGATGAACATGAAAACAGCTGCCATATATATATATATATATATATATATATCATAACTTCAATACAATTAAAGTGAATTCCAAATGAAATAAAGCAAACTACATGATTGTTGTTGAAGATGAGTCCATAAACGAAATAAAGCAAGCTATCACATTACTGTCTGCACTTCCAATTACTAGGCAAGGCAAAAGTTAAAAAAGCAAAAGTCATTTTAATTACAAAAGCAACAACTACCACAATAGTTTCTCCTATTACAGTAGTTTCTCCTTTTCCTTCAATCTAGATGAACTAGGAACACTTAATGTTGAGTTGGCAGCAGCAGCAACATGCATATGAACATCTCTAATCCTGAAGGGCATCTCTACTTGTTCTTTAGTTTGTGTTCTGGCTTGTTTGGTGCTATATTTGACATGGGACCTTGACAGCTCAAACACTTCGTACATATCCTTGTCCACTTGATCTGGGGTAGAGGATGTTATGTCAATCTCAACCAGTGGCTCAGCATCCTATTGATGTTTAGTGTTTGAATTATCTTTACAAACTACAGCTGCAACTCTTCTTTTACATTGTTGTCTCTTCTGTACAAAACAGTGAAGTAGCAAAAGTCAAATTGCATAAAGACAAAAATCAAAATATGAAGCATGTTTTTCTACCCTTTTATTTGAAAACTTAGCAGCAGGCTCTTTGGTTTTCCTTGCTGCCTGCAGTTGACGGGTATTTTACATACGTGCAAGCTAAAAAATACCGAATTACACCCGTTCACTGCAAGTATACAGATCAACTAGTAGTTTAGGGTATATATCGGGTCGATCCCACAGGGAAGAGTGAACAATTACCGGTATTACTAAAGTTTCTCTATTATTTAGACTATCAATGAATTATAACAAATTAAAACCTACTAAAATTATTCAAGAAAATAGCAAATGAAAGCTCCTTAGGTTGTGGTATCCCTAACTACTCATGCAAGTGCTATATTTGGATCATTGAATACTATATCTAGGCTAGTTATGGTATAATTTCCTTAAACATGTGAAACCTACTTTCGTAGTGAATCAACTATACTCATAACTAATCCATACCTATTTTCATGGTTATGAAATTAGCTACAAGTTCATTTCTTCAATGAAATTACATGAAATGAATCACTAAAAACCACATAAGTGCACCTCTACTTTCGTGAGTGTACTCCCTATGTTTAGCACTTCTTGAACTAGTGTTAAATCTCAATTTCCATTGCAGAAACAACACCTTAGATAATCATAATTAATGGTACCAGATTAATCATGATTTAAAGAGCCAAAGTGCTAAATAACTTGCTCAAATCATAGCAGTCAAATAACCAAATAATAAACACTAACAATTATAGAAAGTTCAACCAAACCCAAGGCTTAAACTTTAGATACACATATTAAACACAAAATCCAGAACTTGTATATTAACTAAACTTGGAATCAAATACAAAAGATAAAGAGTTTGGAAGGAATACAACCCTTGTCACATGAGCTTTCTTCCTTGCCTTCTTCATCCTCCATCTTCATCCTAATCTAGATAATAAACAAGAATGGAAAAGCTACACTACTCTATACTAAGCTAAACTAACACTAGGAAGATGAAAGAGCTACATTTCTGCAGCTTCAAGCTTTCTCCCGTAGCTCACTCTCTATTTTTCTGCTATGAACTCCAATCTCTCCTATCTACTCCAATCTCTTGCAATCTTGGCTATTTTATGATGAAAGATGGTCAAGAAATGAGGCATCCACCTTCCTTTTACAGCTGGAGATGTTTCTCACATGTCTAGCATCCCATGTGAGTTGGTGGAGGTGAAATTGAGTTTTCCGCGTAAAAATCAGACCTCTCTGACCACAATCCGGCCAGAAATCCGGCCAGAAATCCGGCCAAATTCCGGCCGGATTGCTACAGTGACCATTTGGTCACTTCTGGTTCAATTTCCAGCTCTGCTCCGATTTTGACTCAAGTTCAACTGAACTTTTCTTGATGATAAAAGCTGATTTAGCTCTTGACCAAAACATAAAACTTGTAGCCCTTTGAGTTAGCTTTCCAATGCATCAAGAATCACCTCATTTGGATCTGTGTAGGCTGAGAAATGACCAAAATACCCTTACCTGTTCATTGCCCTGTTTCAGCTTCGACCAACAGAAATTAGCTAATGTAATTCGGCTTTTTGATTTTGAAAACCTTCAAACTGGATTTAGATGTCTTCACCAAAGTTGTAGATCTATCTCTTATCTTCAAATTGGTTCAAGAATCATCTCAATCCGATCATTGTAGCTCAAGTTATAGCCGAAATACGAAAATGTGTCAAAACTGTCAAAATACACAAAATCCCACTAAAAAATGATAAAAACCTCATTTAATCACTTAAAAGCATTTTTCACCAATTATAGCCAAAATGATTTATATTCTTCCAATAATATAACCAAAGTGACTAAAAATAATATAAAATATCATACAATTATTACGTAAATTAGTCACTTATCAAACTCCCCCACACTTAAATCATTGCTTGTCCTCAAGCAATCCACACATAATCAAATGCAATGATTCAAGAGGTGAAACAATATATGCACTTTGTCCAATTTAATTCCTCAAGACTTGGAAAATAATCATTATACAATTATTCAATTTACACTTAATACTCATAATATCAAGTAAAGGAAAGATAATTATACCCTAAATTCAACAAGTTAAACTTAATCTCTTACCCTAACTTAATTTTACAAATAAGCAAATCACATAGTCGATTTATAGCCTTCCTCCTCCTATAATCATCTTTTTCTCAACATTCTATAACTAAGAGGGATTTATTCATACTAATTTTTACTTAAATAGTGAAAATGCCTTTTTACGCGAAAATCGACACTTTTAGGTGAAGATCCCCGGTTACTCAACATTTCACTTATTCAAGTTGCTAATGCATACTCTTAATTCAAGTACCTTTTTACGCGAATGTCGACATTTGTAGATGCCAACCCCCGGTTACTTGGTACGAGAATCATTGGAGTAGAACAATTTTTTTTTATTATTATTATTTTTTTACTTTCTTTTTTTTCTCTTTCTTTTTTTTTTCTCTTTTTTTTTTCTTATTATTATTTTTTTAGAAATAAAGGACAATAAATAGATATTCCCTCTTAGAAAATATATAAGACTAATCAAAGGAGGAGTATAACCTTTTATCAACTATATCAATCACTTACTTATAAAATTAAGTAAAGAGAAGAAATTTCATTAAACTTGTAAAATTATAGGCATAATTTTCCTCACTTTATCCAATATATTTTCTAAAATGCAAAAATCCTAATTGCATAATAATCATTTTCAAGTTAAATGAGGACTAAACTTTCCAAAATACATATAAAGTTTCAACAATTGGAAGAATTAAACACTTAAGGTTGGAATACTTTGGCCCTTTTTGAAATAAAAATGAAAAAATTGAAGAACTTTTGGGCCATAGTGAAATATTGGACAAGATGTTAGAAAAATTTTGACGGAGTTTCCCCATATAAATGGATGAAAACTTCCTGCCAACAAACCCAATTTCAAGCAAATTATCCACATGGCAAATAATTCAAACATAATTCCAACATTTCTAAGCATTTAAATCACCAAAATATCATCACATGGCAAGTAAATGCAAGTTCAATACTTTCCTCCCCCACACTTAAACTTCACATTGTCCTCAATGTGAGAAAAGGAAAATAAATAAAGAGTAAAAGAAAATACTGCTCAATTGAACTTGCGTAATCAGAATCCATGGCCAAGTGACGAATGTCCAACCATAAGAAGTCTGAAAACATAGATGAAGATCACTTGGATTAGTTCACACAAAAGAAATACTGAAAACCACTAAAAATTAAACATCACAAATACTACAGAAAATAAAAGAAAAACTAGTGGCAATGTCACTAGGTGACGAGCACTCCCTCAAGTAGTCGCTTGGTCAGGTGAAGATGGTGGAGTCGGAGGAGCTTCAATGCCCAACTTGGTCTCGATGCGACGAAGACGCTCGGAGTTCCGTTTGTTCTCTTGGCGGCTCTTTTTCACCTCAGCCTCGACGCAAAGCAGCTTATCCATTATCTTCTTCAAGAATGAGCGAGTGTCCTGAGGTAAAGATGAACGACGTGAGGAAGACGGCTCAGTTGAGATCTGTGGGGTGGTTGTCTCAACCCCTTGAGCTTCTACAATTCGTTCAATTTCAGCTTCCTCCTCGTGCCGAATGTCTCCTTGAGCACCTCCTTGAGTCGAAAGACCACCTATGTCTTTACTCTTCAAAATAAACCTGCAAAAATCCAGTGTAAAGACATCCTTCTTCTTGAGACCTGTAGGGATAGCATTAGAAAAATCCACTCCAACCCTTTGAAACTCAAAGGTCAAGAACCGAGGATATGGGAAGGCATGTTTGATGTCGTTACTGCGAACCACAGCCCACATGTGGTTGGTGATAATGCTTCCCAATGGAATGCCTTGGATATTTCCTAAGCCATGCTCCATTTTATCCAAGAAATAGATGTCGCTTGTGCGCGCCTCATTGGTTCCACTCGCCCTCGGAATAATGTTGGAGGAAAATAGATAAATAAGAAGACGTTGCGACTCCGGAAATGACGAAGTCAATACGGAATATCGCCCAGTCGTCCTAGTAGCTTTATACTCAACCCCCAAGCGTACAAGTGCCTCTAGCATGTTCCAAGAATCCAAGTCGTTGGGTTTAAAAGCTTTCTTCAAATCTACCTTACGCCCCACATCCGAAACATGAAGATAGCGCTCCAAATCAGCTCTATGGACTCGAACTTTTCTCCCTCGCACTGTACTGGTAATCACTTCCGTGTCGTAGTGAAAAACCTTCTTGTCCTCCACATTCGCATAGAATTCTCGGACAAGCTCCTCATAATAGAAATTTGGGATGTTAAAGAAGTTTTCCCATCCCAATTTGGCAAAAGAAGCCTTGAGATGGTAGACCTCCTCAACATCCGGAGTGACATCTTTCTCCACCAATACCTTAGCTCCCCTCCTAGCATTGTACCAAGCTTCATTTTCGGCGGAGGTAAAGCGCGACTTATCATATGGGACTTCCTCCTCTTGTTCCCCTTGGACCTCTTGTTCCTCTTGTTGTTCTTGTTGTTGATTCTCCTCCTCGGATAATGGCTCGTCTTGAAACGCAAGGCGTCTACTTGCTTTTCTTTTCAAGCGCGGTGGTCTAGACGTCGAAGCTTCTCCTCTCCTATTAGGAGGTGATTTCACTGCACCTTTCTTAGTGCGAGCCATTGTACCTAATTAAAATTATTAAATGTTAACTTCATTGAATTGGTACGTTGCTAAGTAAAGATAATGAAAACTCATTCACTTTTACCTCTTTATCTTTAATTAGCCAATCTTATCAACTTACTCCCATAATAATTAGCAATTAACTTCATAAGCAAGACTTTTACAATTGATTATCAACAACAAATGCTTCTTTCATTTTTTTCCAAATAAAACACTTAAGCATAAAATGTCCAAATAAGTAGAGAAAGCAATTAAACAATCACACAACTTACTCCCAACTTAATGACCTAAATAAGCATAATGAAATGCTAAAAAGCACCTTAACCATGAGTTTAGACTTAAAAAGGTCATTAATTCAACTTTAATCAAATTTTCTAGAATAAACAATGCCAAAAATCAAAGGATAAGCTAATTAAGCCTAAATTTAGCATGTAAATATCCTAGAGCAATCCATTACTCTCATACAATTTTCTTCAATCCAATTGCCCCAAATATTTAGCTAATAATGATCAAATCAAAGTAATCCTCAAGATTAGCTTAAAATTGCTAAATTCACCAAATAATCTCAAACCCATGAGTTAAACATCACCAATAATCATCAATAAACTCAATAACATCATAAAAAGCATCAAACTTCACAAAATGAAAAAAATTCGAAATTGCCCAAAAATAGGAAAAAGTGAAAATTGGCAAAATTCAAATGACAACATTTGGTGAAGATTTGTTACCTCAAACTTGTTGGTAGATGATTAATGATGCAAATGGTGAAGAAACCCCCAAAAATTTCACTCCAATTTGGCCCAAATGAAGAGTTCAAAGTTTGAAACCCTTGTTTCTTCTCAAGCTCAAATCCAAATTACAACTTGTTTTTGAAGAATTTTACACTATGGAATCAACTCTCAAGGGAAAGGGGAATGTTTTGGTGTATTTAGTTTGGAGATTGGATGGTGAAAAGTTGGATTTTAGGAGTAGTGTGTGTTTTAGGTGTGAGTGTGTGTGAAATGTTGAAGAAAGGAGGAAGAAAAAACTTGGGGAATCCGTGCGCGGATTCCCTTCTATTGCGCAAAACTGGCCAGAATCCGGCCAGTTTCCGGCCGGATATTCAGCCGGATTATCGGCCGGATACTGGCCAGTAGCCACGAAATTTTTTTTCAATTTTGCCTCTCAATCCGACCTTTAATCCGGCCTAAAGTTGGCCGGATTGTTGGCCGGATTTGCTACAGTGCCTCTTTTTTTTTTTTTTAAAAAAACTCTGCATATCCGGCCAGAAACTTGGCTGGATTTCCGGCCGGATTACCGGCCGGATATGAGGCAGTAGCTCCGAAAATTTGATTTTTTCTTCCCCTGATAATCCGGCCATGAATCCGGCCATTTTATGGCCGGATTTGAGGCCGGATTTGCTGCAGAAATTTTTTATTTCTGCAGTTTCTCCTTCCGCTTTCCATTTTCAAAAGTTTTTTACTCACCCTATTTTCATCCTTTTCCATTTTCTTCAAGAAAAGCTCACCTTAAACATAAAAATTGTGCTTTCTCAACCAATTGCTCCTTGAAACATGAAATCATGCATCAATATAACTTTAGAATTAAGCACTTCAAATGCTTAGTTAACGAATAATCCACCATTTTAGGTCTTGGTGGATCATTAAAAGGTGACTTTATAGCAAAAGCCACAAGATCTAATGATGTGAGAGATGGAAGTGACTTACATATTTCAAGTGTTTCATAGATATTACCTTGAATATGCACCACTTGAGAACTTACCAAAGGAAATGTCATGAGAGTATCTTGGGCAGGAACACCTTTAGAACCTATACTTTCAATGCACTCCTCAAGAGGGGTAAAAAATGAGTCATTAAAACTCACCTCTTGAGATTCAAAGTTAGTTCCAAAGATATTATCATGTGAAATGGACATTCGCTCATTAAAACACTCTTGAGATTCATTATTTTCATCAAAATGCAATCCATTTTCACATACAACATTTCCACCATTCATGCTAGGATCATTTTGTAAATTATTAGAAGAAATAACTTCACACAATACATTCAATTGCTCATGTATATCACCAAAGTGAGAAGCTAATTCATCTAACCTTTCCTCAATCCTATCAAAACGGTCAGAGATTGCATTTGCTAGCTTTTCTATGGTTAAATCAAATTGATTAGAAAATTTTTCTACAGCTAGCTCCCAAGATGCATTAGAATCATTAGCTAATGGTTCACTTTCTAACTCCCAAGGTAGAGGTGTATTAGCTAACTTCTCTATTGCCAACTCCCAAGATGGTTTTGATTCATATTGGATACTTTCAGGTTGGTAATCATAAAAACATGAATTATCACTATAAGTACATTGATTATTCCAACCATAAGCAGGAGAATTGCTCCAATTAGCACTATATTGATCAAAACAAGGATTGTAATGCTCTAATTCATCATAATAATCCACATTTTGTGCTTGCATACATGTATTAGTAGCATGATAACTTCCACACAAGTCACAAATCACATGATAAGAATTAAAAGCATTAACATTCCTCCCTTGTTCAATTTTATGCATAATTGTGTCCATTTGAACTTGTAACATCATAACATCAAATTTAGCCTTTAAGCACCTTAAACCATCTTCAAAAGACATACATTCAGTAAATTCTTGGTTACCTCTGTTGAAGGAGCTTTGCACTTGGTAACCATCCATTGCCAATCTTCCACTTCTCAAGCATTGTCCTCCAAATTGACCTACCCTTCTCATTACCTAAAATTACTTTTAAACAACTTAAGAGCAAAATTAGTAAGAAGAATAGGTGATAAAACACATACACACATAAAACACAAAAATAACAGAAAATAACATTCACATTATAACTAATATTATGTCTAAACTAATAAAGTTACTCTTCACACCGATATTGCCAAATCTTCCCCGGCAACGGCGCCAAAAACTTGACGGGTATTTTACATACGTGCAAGCTAAAAAATACCGAATTACACCCGTTCACTGCAAGTATACAGATCAACTAGTAGTTTAGGGTATATATCGGGTCGATCCCACAGGGAAGAGTGAACAATTACCGGTATTACTAAAGTTTCTCTATTATTTAGACTATCAATGAATTATAACAAATTAAAACCTACTAAAATTATTCAAGAAAATAGCAAATGAAAGCTCCTTAGGTTGTGGTATCCCTAACTACTCATGCAAGTGCTATATTTGGATCATTGAATACTACATCTAGGTTAGTTATGGTGTAATTTCCTTAAACATGTGAAACCTACTTTCGTAGTGAATCAACTATACTCATAACTAATCCATACCTATTTTCATGGTTATGAAATTAGCTACAAGTTCATTTCTTCAATGAAATTACATGAAATGAATCACTAAAAACCACATAAGTGCACCTCTACTTTCGTGAGTGTACTCCCTATGTTTAGCACTTCTTGAACTAGTGTTAAATCTCAATTTTCATTGCAGAAACAACACCTTAGATAATCATAATTAATGGTACCAGATTAATCATGATTTCAAGAGCCAAAGTGCTAAATAACTTGCTCAAATCATAGCAATCAAATAACCAAATAATAAACACTAACAATTATAGAAAGTTCAACCAAACCCAAGGCTTAAACTTTAGACACACATATTAAATACAAAATCCAGAACTTGTATATTAACTAAACTTGGAATCAAATACAAAAGATAAAGAGTTTGGAAGGAATACAACCCTTGTCACATGAGCTTTCTTCCTTGCCTTCTTCATCCTCCATCTTCATCCTAATCTAGATAATAAACAAGAATGAAAAAGCTACACTACTCTATACTAAGCTAAACTAATACTAGGGAGATGAAAGAGCTACATTTCTGCAGCTTCAAGCTTTCTCCCGTAGCTCACTCTCTATTTTTCTGCTATGAACTCCAATCTCTGCTATCTACTCCCTTCTCTTGCAATCTTGGCTATTTTATGATGAAAGATGGTCAAGAAATGAGGCCTCCACCTTCCTTTTACAGCTGGAGATGTTTCTCACATGTCTAGCATCCCATGTGAGTTGGTGGAGGTGAAATTGAGTTTTCCGCGTAAAAAGCAGACCTCTCTGACCACAATCCGGCCAGAAATCCGGCCAGAAATCCTGCCAAATTCCGGCCGGATTGCTACAGTGACCATTTGGTCACTTCTGGTTCAATTTCCAGCTCTGCTCCGATTTTGACTCAACTTCAACTGAACTTTTCTTGATGATAAAAGCTGATTTAGCTCTTGACCAAAACATAAAACTTGTAGACCTTTGAGTTAGCTTTCCAATGCATCAAAAATCACCTCATTTGGATCTGTGTAGGCTGAGAAATGACCGAAATACCCTTACCTGCTCATTGCCCTGTTCCAGTTTCGACCAGTAGAAATTTGCTATTGTAATTCGGCATTTTGACCTGGAAAACCTTCAAACTGGATTTAGATGTCTTCACCAAAGTTGTAGATCTATCTCTTATCTTCAAATTGGTTCAAGAATCATCTTAATCCGATCACTGTAGCTCAAGTTATAGCCGAAATACGAAAATGTGTCAAAACTGTCAAAATACACAAAATCCAAGTAAAAAGTGATAAAAACCTCATTTAACCACTTAAAAACATTTTTCACCAATTATAGCCAAAATGAATCATTTTCTTCCAATAATATACCCAAAGTGACTAAAAATAATAGAAAATATCATACAATTATTACGTAAATTAGTCACTTATCAGCAGTTTAAAAGGAAAACATGTTATTATTTATAGTATTTATATACTAAATAGCAGAGATAAATGTAACAAGTAATCAAGACAACTTACAGCTTTTTTTTCCATCTTTAGCACATCTATTCTTGTCAAATGTTTGAGACCTTGTAGGTGAAATGACCAACTATTCATTTGCTAGATTGTTGGTAGAAGCAGCAATTTGGCTTGAATTAATATTAGTTTCTACAACTGCAGAATTTTGAGCATCTTTGAAAAGCTTGCAGGACCTCATATT